GCTGTTGGTGTCATCGAACAATTTCTTTATCCCACTGGTGCCTGTGAAGTGACAGCTCGACAGCAGTGCTTGGCCAGGTTCCGGTTCCGTTTTGTGGCAAGAATATCTAATGGGCGTCTCTGCGTACTTCCTATTGCATCACAGCCAGAGGCGCGTGGTGGCAGCTTTCTCCTTTTTTGTGGAGTTAGGAGTGATCTGTAGGGTTAGGTGTGGAGGGTCTGATCCCTATTACTAAGTTCCCCATCAACTGTGGTCTTAGCATCTTCTAATGATCATTTGGCAGGTGGATTATTTCATTTAGATTCTGCAGTATTCAGGCTCTACATTATTTCTACATGTGTACTTCCTCTCGGGAAAACTTCTCCTCATCAGTTACACCCCAAGATGCAGTGCACACACGAGTCTCTTTTTAAAGCAGTTATCAGAATAATGATTTGGTTACTTAGCAGGCTCCAAAGATAACCGGTGAGTTGTATTTTTTTTTAAAATATATTTTATTGATTTTTTTACAGAGAGGAAGGGAGAGGGATAGAGAGTTAGAAACATCGATGAGAGAGAAACATCGACCAGCTGCCTCCTGCACATCTCCCACTGGGGATGTGCCCGCAACCCACGTACATGCCCTTGACCAGAATCGAACCCGGGACCCTTGAGTCCGCAGGCCGACGCTCTATCCACTGAGCCAAACCGGTTTCGGCGAGTTGTATTTTTTTTAAAGAATCATTAGAAGCTCATGCATTTTAACCCAGCTGATATCTCACAGTTCAGGGCAGTCGTTACTCTTTTTGGTGCTCGTATAGTTCAGCTTAGGCTGGTGGAGCCCATTCTCTGTAAGTTGTGTCCTGTGTCCTCTGGACACCACCACATGGTCTCCTTGCTTCCTGGTGTGACAGGGTGCTCCAGATGCATCTTACACAGTTCCTGTCCCTGACCTAGAGTCGGACATTTCTCCAGGGGACCTGATTCTGTTTCGCAGGAAAATGGCATGTAGAGACCACCATCAGGTGTGCCCAGTTTCTGAAGACTTTGCGTCATAGCGAGGGACCCGTAAGAGATACACAGAGGGGACCCGGGTCTTGCACTTGGGCATGGTCCACGGCACTGCAATCTCACCAAGTGCATTAGACAAAATAAATCCCACCTGAACCCCTTCAAACAGGGAGCATGTTTGAAAGTCCCTTGATCTTTGCAGACCTTGCTTGAGTCTGATTCCTTCCCACCTGGGATGAAGCAGATTAACTGATACCTGTTAGGTTCTACCCTCTCACCCTCCCTGCTAGCACAGGCTTCTGAGGCAGGAGGTTCAGGCCCCCGATTCTGCAGCCTCCAGAGGTCGCTCCAGCCAGAACTGCCCCCCCCCATTGTTCCGTGAGCCCCAGGGGGCTGTGCCACCCCTCCCAGATCGGAGTGCGCCTTTGGGAGTGTCTCCTCACACGCAGACCTCGTTGTCCAGGATCGCTAATCGTGTTCTAAAATGTTGCCCACAGGACTGAGTCCTGCGCCCTCACAGAGACCGCAGAATAGATCCACATGGCAGTCTTGGCTCACTCACCACAGCCGCCCCTAATGGGCCTCCACACCCTGGGTCAGGGTTGCGGCTGGCCACTAGCCTCGGACGCCTGCGGAGGGGAAGCTCTGAGTGGTGTCCTGTGACTTCATGGAGCTGCCCCACCCCCCAGCTGCTCACATGGAGGCATGAAATGTGGTTGGCCTGGCTTTTACTAGGTGGGGGCAGTGAGAAGGAAGGTAAATGAAAGAAAAAGCCAGTGACTTTTTTGAACTCCGTAGGAGTTCACATATATTAGCAAAGTTATTTGCAAATTTCCCCAGAGCCAGTCTGAGCTTTCTGTCTACAGGGCAGAAGAACATGATCGTAGTTGTTATTCTGTAAAAACAATGCCCTGGCCCATGGTGGGCGCCTTATCGGGCTCTCGCGGTCTGACTCGCGGCTGGCTCCTCCCACTCTGTGGCACGGGGCAAAGAGCCAGAATCACTCATGACAACTAAACCCAAGGGAAAGGCTGGATGTCCCAGAGGCAGCTCCTAGACACAGGAAATTGTAAAGTCAAACAGGGTGGACTGCAGAACACCCCAGCCCGAGTAGTTCTGCAGAACCGACACGTTTGGAGAAGGTCTGCAGTTGCCCAGGCGTCACCATTGGGAGGGCCCATTTCTCCGATTCCAACCTCTGCAGCACCCGTCTCCTGCCACAGTCCACGCATCCTCCCAGCGCTTGCCTGGAGGGGCGGGGCGGCCAGCTCCATCCTGGTCCCTACCTCTTGTCCTGAAATAATCCTGAGCCCTGTCCCATTTGCTGGCCCCTCCCTCCCATCCCATGTAAGGCTTCAGAATCACAGCCTACACTTCTCACCCAGCACTAGGGCTGAGCGGCTGAACTTCAGGTGGCCCTGGGAACACTCCAGCTTAAAGTGGAAAGGAAGCACGCGCCAATTTCCCTTCCTTGGGATCTTTCCTCCTTAGTTCCTTCTGGCCGAGGGGCAGTCCCCGGGGAGGGTAGGTTGAAGACAAAGATTTTGTGCAAGCCACGGTGCCCAGTAGGCTGTGTGGTGTCAGGAGAGGCCGAGACAGCCTGGGCCAGACTGAGCCGGTGCCAAGAGCAGAACGAAGAGACCTGGGGAGACATGGGACCTGCCGCTGGCCGCTGGCTGCTGTCTGTCCTCCATTTTCTCCTTTGGCTCCTCCAAGCCCCCAGATGACGTGCCTTCACTGAACATGAAATGTGGTGGCTGCCGCCCGGACGACAGTGACAGTGCAGGGCACTGAGGGCGCGGGCAGGGGGACAGGACACGGAAGACAAACGCAGCAGCTTCCAAGTCATGCTGTTTATTTTCCCTTCACTGGGCTTCACAGCTCATCCGGGCTTCTGCTCACTCTCCGAGGAGCTGTGGAAGCGGCGCGTGTACTCGTGCTCTCTGTCCCCCCGACGAGAACACGCAGGAACACACATGCGCACACCCGGGGCAGGCGAGAGCACCTGGGCTTGTTTCAGTTGTCGGTCTCCCCTCTGGCTGCACAGTGACACGCGTTTGCCTCTGCCTAATGCTCTCAAGGAAAGTGGGTAGGCCAGGACGCGGCAAGGAGCACGCACGGAGGGCTGTGTAGGAAGCTGGTGGAGGGAAGCATTGAACCACAAGATCCTCCGCCTGCCCCTCTTCACTCCTTTCCCTGCTTCATGTTGATCTCAAAAAAAAAAAAAAAGCAGAGTAAAGGCTAGCAGGGCTGCTGGTCGCCCCCGGAGGCAGCCTGTCCGGGTGACAGATGTAGAGCCTCGCTGGAGTGGCACTGCCTCCTGCCCTCCTGGCTGGTGCCTTGTGCATGTGCGCAGTTCCCAGACTCTCCCTCCTTGGACAGCCTCAGGGTTCAAAGGCCAGGAGCGGAGGAAGTGTCTGCCAAGAACTTGCAGAATCCCAGGTGAGCCCTGGCGCTGGTGGGGGTCAGAGTCTCTCAAAAGGAGGTTCCCGGCGGGTGGCCCGGCAGGGAGGCACTGACGCTACCCCTTGACCCCTGGGGGTCAGAGTCTCTCAAAAGGAGGTTCCCGGCGGGAGGCACTGACGCTACCCCAGCTCAGCTCAGCTCGCAGGAGTGCTGCCCCCCACTCCACAGGCACCTATGCCTCTGACTTGGACTCTGCCTGGTTTTCCAGGGAGCGACGCATCGGGGGAAAGGTGTGGCACCGGCACAGTATTACTGTGTCAACCCTCCCAGCGCAGGGGCCCCAGCGAGCGGCCAGAACTTGCCGGCCTTTGATATTTCACATCATATCTCATCTCATGAACCGAGACGGCGGGGATTCTCCGCAGCCAACCTTGACAGGAAGGATGCTGGGAATCTGCCGCTTCCTTAATTCATGGCAGCAGCAGCGAGGAGAGGGTATGGTCCTCTCGTGGGGGCGCCATTCAGTGGAGAGGTGCCACTGGTTAACCCGACAGCTCAGAGACCAAGGCCGGCTGCACCTCATTCATCACCTATATTGCAGGGCTGCGATTCACCAGCTCGCTACCAAGTTGGACTCTTGGCGCCGGAAATTTAGTGTGTGACAGCTGCGTGCAGCCAGTGGTGTCCAGCATTTTAAAAAGGTCAATTAAGAAACGGTTGATGGTGATGCAGCGCATGACAGCCCAGAGGGGTGAGCAGGGCCGAGGAAACAGAAGGGCCGAGGCGTATATTACTGGAATTGAAGCGCCGAAGTGCAGCGTGGTGGGAGGAAATCCATTGTCACAAGCCATAAAGCACATCTGAGTTTTGCAGCGGCGAGCAGTACAGCTGTTCCCTCCCCAGGCAGCGCGGGCAGCAGCCTGCTCGCCGAGGGCTCTGCAGACAAAGGCGACACCTGCATCAGCTTGATCAATCTGCAGACAAAGATCGTTACCCTCCTCGCTGCTGCTCCTCCGCACTTTCTGTTCTCCCACGCGGGGAGCGTAAGGCAGCCGCTGGAGTGATATTAGGAATGTGGGTCATGTTGCAGAAATCCATATTTTAAGCATTCCCCGAAGCTGGGCTCTGCCTTCTCCTCCGGGCGCGGGGCGGTGCTTCCTCAGACCGCACATCTGCTCCCGGCTTCACGGGGCACACAGACGCGGGGACAGTCTGTACCCTTGACACTGCCATAGATAAGAGAGGGACACACAGCCCTCAGAAAAAGTCTATTTCATCTGCGACAGGATTGGCCTGTGGTTGGGGGAAGGTACTGTGTGGGGCTGTGTTCTGGAACTGAGACAAAGGGGTCTGAGAGGCTAGGACCGGCTTTTTTTGCCACATCTACCTGTCAAGCTGGAAATTCAATAGAGCTATGGGAGTGCTAATTGATATGCAAAACAGGTTCAGGGTTCCTAGAAATGTCTAATGATCCTCCCAGTCGCTGGGAATGCAGAATTAAGACGCGCACTAAATGACACCAACCTTTTTTCCTTTTCCTTCTTAAAATCTACCTTGGGAAACTTCACAGGTTTTATGATTAAAACAGAAAGTATTGCAATCAGTGGGGTTTGTCTTTCACACACTGGATATTTATTATTAGAAAATAGCTTCCATCAGCCATCAGTACCAAACGAGTTGACAGGAGCGTGCTTCTCACCATATTTTTTCTTTTTTCCTCCTTAATGAGAATTAAATAAACAGCGCACTGTGGGGAGAGCTGCCACACCTCTTGTTCCTTTAAAGTCTGAACACTTACATGAGATTTAGTACAAAACATCCCTCAAACATGACTTGTTTTGCAGTTGTTATGCTGTCCCCTTGAGTATGGGACATAAAAGAGATGAAAAAGACCACTTAAGCTATCAAATGACCCCAAAGAATCTACAGGAGAAACCAGCAACAAATAAACGAATCCAACAAAACCCATCCAAACCAAGACACCAGTTTTAACATTGGCTTTTCAATTTGATTATCATCTAAGTTTAATAAGTTTATATATTTGAAATAGTAATAAAAAGGAAGAATCGAATTGCATCCTCAGCAGGACAGCCTTCCTCATTGGTTAAAAGAGGTGTTCGGAAAGTTCCATACAGTATCTGCTAAATAAACATGTTTGGCAGCTTAGCAAATATCATATGATTGCAGCATCCGTGACTGGAAGTGAAACAGCATTCGCTTTCTCCTGGCGGAGTTCGTTGCTCCGGGCGCTGTGCTCACACGGCTCTGGATGTTCTTAGACCCACGGGCTTCGGGAAGGGTTTGGGGGTGGCTCAGGGCACGGCCCCAGTGCGGACACTTCCAAACCCAAACAACCAGTCAACCAACCAACCACACAGATGTCAGACAATTGTCTCTTTTGAGTTCCTCTTGACAGAATGGAGGCCCAGCAAGGACTGCTGGTTAGAAGGTATGTTGACAGACTTTGGAATGAGGAGAATCACCCTCTGATTGGTCCGACGCCATTCGTTGTACAATCGACAGTGGTACCTAAACGACACCTGGAGTTAGGAGAGGAAAATAAGGGAAGGTTTCAGGTAAGCAGACACTGATAATCAATAAAAAAACAAACATGTCACTTAAAAGAGCTGCAAACAGCTGGCAGCGGTACAGCGGGGTGAGGACCTGGCTGAAACGGCTCCAGCAAGCAGCCCAGTGTTGGGACACTGGGCACCAAGCAAAGAGCACCCGCATGTGAACACCTGGGCGCAGCTCACAGAGCAGCTTCCTTCGTTCCTCCTCATATTGGGTAAAATCAGGGTACCAATAGGAAATGAGGTTTCTTCTGAGTTTGGACTTATTTTGGGGATAGTGGTGTTTAGGTTTCAAAGCATCAGTGATGAAGAAGGTTGGCTGGAAGCAGCGTGCACAGTGGGTATAGTGCCAGCCCTTCCCAGCTGAGGGACTGGGCAATGTGCCTTTCTGGTCCTCAGGGAGGGATGCTGGGCTTCCCGTGCCCTTCTGCAGGCTGGACACTGCACAACTCAAAGGACCCCATCCACACGGATTGTGATGGGAAGGGCATCTTTTGTACTTGCCATGGAACCCTGTAAAGCTGTACTGGGTGGCCCTGATGGGTGACCCCCAATCGCTCCAGCTCCAGCATTCGATGGCTCCCGGAGGGGGCGCTTTGGCATGGGCACTGAACTCCCTGGTCAGGTCTTCTTGAGCCACAGTGCCTTGTGCCTGCCTCGGCATGGCACCGAGTGCCCTGGCATCAGAGCACTTGTCTCTCTCCCTGGCATCGTGAGAGCAGGGCTTGTGTTGTTTTCATCTCTGCAAGGCCTGCACCTATCACAGAGTCTGGCACTGGGACGTGGCTCAGTAGAGTTTGCTGAGTGAATGGATGAGTGAATACATATCCTATGCTTTCTAATTGCAACAACTGCTTAAGATTTAAGCCTCTGTTATATCTATGCGACAGTATGAAGAGGAAACTCAGTTAATTGTGACACAACTGTGTGCCCAAAGTGCTTGCTTCTCGTGTAAATATACTGGGATGAGAGGATGACATGTGTGGCTTGTTTTGGAGAAGACCGGCACGAAGCATTGATGGCCTGCCCAGGAAATTCACAGTTTCACCTGTACTTTTGAAGATGTACAGACAGAGTCCAGGCTGAGTGCATGCAGACGACTAGGTGCTGGGAAGGAAGGTGCCCTGGGCTGAGAGTGACAAATTATCCAGGGATGGGCTGTGCCACCCTCTGGGGCGGTGGACTGTATGGACCCCAGTGCAGGTTGGAGAGTGGGTTGACCCCGTGGTTTGAGGTCAGCGTTGGCAGAAGTGGAGGAGAGTGCAGGCCGTTGGTCCGAAAGGGCTTGCTCGTCTTCATGGCAGGATCATGAAATTCACGGCCTCAGAAAATCAAATTTCTGAGGCTAGAAAGCAAACGCCACAGGCTGAGTGCCAGAGATTTGGGTATGAAAATATAAGCTTTTAAACTCACACAGATGTGCTTTTGTCCAAAAGGCCCTGAACATGCCAAAGCGGATCAGGGTTTTTCCCTTTTCTTTTTAAAGCCTGCTTCTCTTTCATCGATTCTGTCCTAAGGCTGCTTGGGCTCCTCACGAATGTAAGAGAAGCAGGTTGGACAGCCTGCTGTTCAGGGCCAAGGGCAGGGAAGAGGCAGAACACAGACAAGTACTAATGAAGAGCGTTGGCGCTACAATAAGTCTGGAACCTGGAAGTATTACAGGGAAGCTGAATTTCAAATCAAGAGTCCTTTCATCCGTGAGGTTAAAGAGCCGCACTGGTTGGCATCGGTAAGCAGAGAATTAAGCTGTGGGCACAGGTGGGCAGCACCTTCTCTACAGGGTAGGAATCGGGCCTTGGGCTCCGGGGCCAGGCACATGGGGCTTGAATCCCCAAACTCCCCTTAGTGTCGCCGTGACTTTGGGAGGGTTGCTTGCTACCCCCAAGTTTCAGTTTCATTGTTTGCCAAATGTGAACAATGACATCTGAGATGATGCATAAAAAGCACTTAGCACATGCAGCGTAGGGGATACAGTCAATAATACGGTAATAACAGTGCATGGCGTCAGGTGGGTGCTAGACTTTCAGGGTATCACTTCATAAGTTATATAAATGTCTAATCACCATGCTGTACACTTGACGCTAATGATATTGCACGACAACTGTCACTGAAAAACAAAACAAAAAATAAGTAACAAGCACTTAGCCTAGTGCCTCACACACAGGTGAATGTGCTTGGCCTGTTCGGTATGGAAAAGATAACTTGGTGACACTCCTTCTTAGGTACAGGGAATGGAGGCTGGGCTGTCTCCTTTCAGGACGCTCTCAGTGTGGTGGCGGGCCAGCCTGCATCACCTGGGAGCTTGTTAGAATGTCAGAATTTGGGGCTCTGCCCAGACCTAAGGAGTCAGAGCCCGCCTTTTAACAGGATCTCCAGGTTCTGGCACCTTCCCTGCAGCCTGGGCCGCCCTGCTCCAAGGAACACAGGTGTCCACGACTCAGTGGGTCTCCCGGGTCCTTGGCCAGGAAGCGCAAACACCAGCCCACTTGTTCAGATAAACAAGCGAGATCTTATTATGCATTAATTTTTCTTAATTGCTGCCAATGACCACAGTTTGCAGGCAAGTCCAATCAATAAGAAGAGCACATCATAAGCAGATGACTCCGTCTGAGGGAAAATAAAGGAAGTTGGGCAAGTGCGGAAGGGACCGCCGTGCGCAGCTGCCCTGGGTGAACGCGGGCCCCAATCTCTAGTCTCTCCAAGACACTCCCTCCCACAATGAGACAGAACAGGAGAGAAGGGAAAATAAAGGAAGTTGGGCAAGTGCGGAAGGGACCGCCGTGCGCAGCTGCCCTGGGTGAATGCGGGCTCCCATCTCTAGACGCTTCCAAGACACTCCCTCCCGCAATGAGACAGAACAGGAGAGCACGAGGTGTGATTTAGAGGAATAAAGAGGCAGCGAGGGGAAAATAAACATAAACCAAAAGAAGCTATAGCAGTAGGGACTTGGGAACCTCGTTGATACGGACATTTCTGAAATTTCCAAGGTTTTAAGGAGGAAGAAAGAGCACAGGGCCACTATTCTAACACAACTCCTCCTTGTAGGATGGGTTTCTTGAAGTGCATTCATTTCTTCATCCAAAGGATATTAATTCACCTCCTGTCCTGGGCAAGGTCTGTACAGAGTTGTGATCCTATGGAGGGCACAAGGAGAGGTCAGGGAGGTGACAGCTGTCGCCAGTGCTGCTGCTAAATCACAGGAGGCTTTGGAAAACCTTCTCACTATGTATTCTTCTTCTGCCCTTTCTCTCCAAAGGTTATGGTGTGACCGTGAGGTTATTGATGGGGCCGGGGCTTTGTGAATTGCCATTGCAGAGAGGGGTCTAGTCTCTGATCTCTGATTGCACCGTGCAAGAGAAGAGGGCTGTGTGGGCGTCCACCAGCCGGGGAGAAATGCCCAGCACAGGGCCACACTGAGCACCCTCACGCTGCCACGGGCTGCTGGGGGTGTGTCTAAGCCAGTCCCACAGGGAACCTTGTAACAGTATTCTCTTAGAGCCTCTCCCCTTTATAACAAGAGTTTAAATGATTAACCCATGGGACGGGGAGTCAGCCAGAGGATTCAGATCGTCCCTTCGTTTCGTCCCATGATAGAGCACAGTTTCTGTGCTGGGCACTGGTTGCAACAGTGACCCAGTGACTAGAAGGACTTCCTGTGGTCACTGAATGGCAGTGCCTCCGTTCTTGCAGCTCTGAACGGGGCCTCCTATGCCTTCCACTATGGACAATTTCTTAATGCTTCGTGTGGACTCAGTTCTCATCTAGCGCTCTTGGTGGCTGTCCCTGGACTTCCAACAGGTTACCACGTGGCCAGAGATGTGTTGGGGCACCCCTCTCCTGAGCTCCCCGAGTGGGGATGGCTGAGGCCTGGCCCCTTGGGTCCCAGGTGCCTGTGTTCCCTCAGCAGCTCCATAAGGCGGAACTCCCCGTTTGTGTCCGTGTCCAGGCCCAGCCCTCGTGGCCAGGTGAGCGGGCGAGGAACTCCAAAGGCACGTTTAGGCGCTCAGCGTGGATGCACCGCCCTCTTCACAGAGCCCAAGAGGCCCTTCCAGGAAGGCTCCTCTGAGGAGTGGGACTGACACCGTGTTTGTTTATCTAAGACATTTTCACAGCATTTTCCCCTTAAGCTTGACAGCTTGTTTACAATGGGTTTCTGCTGGAGGGCAGTTTCCAAGTGCTGTCAGCTTCTGAATTACGGCTCTTGCCAGGGCAGCTCAGTGCAGCATGTCTCTGGGAAGGAGAGAGTCTACACTCACTGCCTACTGCTGAGCACGCTTTTCACAACAGTCAAAGGGCAGAAACCCTTTCTTTTCCTTCCACTGCTTTACACTGTATAGAGGGCTGGGGGTGGTGGTGGGAGTTGGGGGAGCAGGGAAGCCACAGGAAGGAAACCAGGGTGCCTATGCTAGGTGCTTTGATATATGTTCCCATGTAATCCCACCTAATCCTCACAATAGCCCATTGACCCTGGGGTTATCAATCATTCCCTCCTTTTTTTTTTTTTTGCAAAGGGGAAGGATGATCAGAGAGGTTAAGTACCTTGTTTAAAGTTACACAGTTATTAGGATGCTAAATCTTGGGTTTGAGCACATGCACTTTTTCCTATGCTGCCTCTTGGGAATGAAGTACTATATTATCTCTCTCCTGAAAGAATCGACTCCAGGTACCTTTCCCACCCAAACCTTCCTTTCATCCAAATGGGAGATCAAACAGGGTCACATCCTCACATCCATATTTATCTACATAATTCTTTCTTTCATTTCTTCCTTCCATGCCCCTGCCCCCCATTCTACCTTGTTAGGTAAGTGGATGCTTTACAAAGCTGGTTTTCAAAAAGGCTTCAATTGGTTTGAAAGCCAGTATTCAAATCTACATCTTCATTTTAGGAACTTGTCTAAGAAAAATGGTAGACAAATAAACCTCTAATCATGGTAAACTATTATTTTCCAAAGTATTTCCCCCTGCACACTTCCATTTCAATCTAGTAGCACCACGGGAAGTTGGCAGGGTGGGTGTTACTACCATTTCCATTTTACAGATGGGAACACTGAGGCCCAGAGCAGTGACGTGACTTTACACTGAGCTAGCCAGACTATTTAACTCCTTATTTCTAACTCTCTTCCCAGCACAATGTCCGTGTGACTTCTGAGTCAGCTTCATTGCTTGATTCGTAATGAATTAGATACACTTTGGAAGCACAGACTTTCAAAGAAGGCAATACTAGCTTTGTTTGGGGGCTCCATTAGGCTGGGAACAGAGGCCTAAATGAATCCGAGGACTCAGTTAAAGTCCGAAGCATCAGAACACTCCCTGTCTACCAAGGCTCAGGTCAGGTCCCTCTCCCTGAGACTGAGCTGTGCTCCCCACTTACTGAGGGAGCACTCGCACCAGGGGGAGACTCAGGGGGAATGAGCAGGGGCTGGGTCAGCGTGGCAGGAATGGCCGCTGGTGGGCAGGGCTTGGGTGGAAATGGGAGCCATGGAAGCTCCCACACGCTGACGCTGATGCTGACGCTGTGCTGTGGGATATGGGAACTACACTTCAGACAGGAAATGCATATTGAATGACAATGGGACGTGCTCAGATTAGAAACCAGCAGGCAGAGGAGAGTAACACCGGGAAGCAGGGGCCCAGTTTCGGAAACGATTCTAGATAGTGACGTTTTCTCTGCAGGGCCCAGAGGGAAGCATGAAGAGAGATCAAATGCTGTACTTTGTGGGTGCTGCCAACTGGTGCCTGAGCAACCAACTTACTCCATAAGTTAAAGAATGAAAAAAAAAGAGATGTTTTAAAATTCTTCCTCATATGCAGAGGGAACACTTACTGGGAAATGGTTTTTCTTTGGTGGCAGCTTCTGAGCCAGATAAATGAGTGTCTTTATGGGCAGCAGAGTCAATATCCCGACACAGAACAATCCCCAGGCGCAGGGCAGCTCCACGCCCAGCGGGACTTTACTGTGTCAGGGTGTAAGACAGTAACCAGCAGGAGGATTCATGATCTGTGCGGGCAGCCACAGCAGCAGTGCCAAGCACATCCTTCACCATCTACTATGATCCCCGCAAAAGTGAGGAACATAAGCAAGGGAAGGAGAACGCCTCCTAACACATGGAGCCTCAACAGCCGGGGTGAGCAATGTCCAGGTGTGTGTCTCTGACTGATGGGCTCTCAGAAGCTGAGGCTTTTTCTTTACTTGTTTTTTTCGCCCCCGCCCCCTGCCCTTGTAGTAACAAACCAAATCACACACTCTAGCTGCCTGAACCAGGCAGGTGAGGTGTGACCCAGACAAGAGGGGAGGCCGTGCCAGCTGTGGGCTGCCAGATGCAGCTGGCCTGGTCCCCGGGGCCTGGCCATACTTACTAGTGTCCAAAAGAGGTAAATAGTGAAGAGTGCGACAGTGAGTGCAATCAGTCCGACGGCCTCGAGCCGACTGCTAAAGTGCAGGTGGTCCACGGCGCCCCGCAGGCAGAGCCAGCCCGAGATGGTGGCCAAGGGCGTTATGAACAAGAAGCACACCATGTCTCCAAACAGAGTCCGCTTCTCATGCTGAGGGCCTGGGTTTCTGAGCCACTGCCAGGGAGAGGGAGAGAAAGACAGGACAAGGTTAAACCCCCGGTAGAGTGGAGACGCCCTACTCCGAACTTGTCTTGATCTTCAGAATCTGGAAAAAGGCACTTCTGACTTGTGCTGAGATCACAAGGGAGCATTAGGGCTCATTCCCATGCCTCCACCCCCTGAATAATAATAGTGATTATGATAATAATATAATATGACAATGGTGATGATGGTGATGATGATGATGATGATGATCATAATAGTAATAATGTATCCTTACTGCAGATGGCCTGTTTTTGAAAACATTCAATGGTTATTATTATATCACCATGAGTCTATGTGGAAGGTAGAGGATGTTTTGGGGAGGTAATAGTTGAGGTGCCAGGGTGCTGTCAGGTGGCCAAAGTCTTCCAGTGTCTGGATCCGGGGACTGTGAGCAGGAGAAGGAAAACTCAGCAGGTCTGGATTGCTCCATTCCTGCCCCTTCCCAAGGGAGACTGGTTTTCGAGACTGGCTCCTCAGAGATGAGCCCTGAGTCCTTGAACTATTCTGCCTGATGAATGTTTTGTATGCCTGAGGCACCGGGCCACGGAGTACCAGTGTAATCAGAGAGCTGATGCCAACGCTGTGATTTATGCTGAACACCTATGTTTGCCCTGGGGGCTGGAGCCTGAGTAGCCGAGGTTAGTCATGCAGGCGAGGCGTGCCTATGTGACTGACCCCAACAAACACCGTGGACACCAAGGCTGATAATGCTTTGTATGTGTTGCCGCGATTTGTTGCTAAACAATGAAATGCACAGTAACGTGTGGCATTACTGGGAGGGGACACCTGGGAGCTCGTGCCCGGTTTCTCCTAGACTTTCCCATGCATCTTTTCCCTCTGCTGATTTTAATGGGCATCCTTTTGCTGTAATGAGCCGTAATCAGGAGCATAAGAGCTTCTCTGAGTCCTGTGAGTCCTTCCAGTGAATCGCTGAGCCAGAGGGTGGTCTTGGGGACCACCCGCACACAGAGACTCACCTGACTCCATGAACTCAGTAATGCCCCCTCCCTCATGTTTTGGGACCTTGAACCTCCTACTTAGAACTGTCCTGGACATCTTAATTGTGCTACCATGTTGACTGACCCAACCCCCAAAAGGATGGGGACAATTTTGTGCTTGTTTAAGGACTAGAGCTGAGAATTCCTACAGGGCAGTGTTGTCCTCCCACTTGGGGAATTGCTGAATATCTGCTGAAATGTTTTACATAATCCATTCCAGGAAAAGTCATGCTTACAGATTGGTGTCAGTGTACACTGGTGAGAAGGCCTGGTGGCTTCTGATTAGTGTTGAAACATGCCCCCAAACAATCTGACATTCTAATAGCACTATCCCATGTAATAATGAGAGGCCATGGAGTCCAGAGAAGGAGTGGGGTCAAACACAGGTCATGGGGTGCAGGTGGGGAGAGATACTGTGACTCTGTCTTCCTTCTTATCCTACCAACAAATGGGGAGGCCTAGCAGGGCTGTGGGCTGGCCCTCAAATGGGAGCACTGTGGGCCACAGAGCAGACATCGCAAGTGGCCAGGGCAACAATTTCCACAAAGCCACTGTTGGGAGGGAAAAACCCGTAACAAGAAAGAAAAGGGAGGAAGGTGCTGACTGGAGAGAGAAGGGAATGTCATGTTCAAGGGCCAAGGGAGGAAGGAAGAGACAAAAGAGCCACAAAGAGGGCGAGCAAGTTGAGGAAGGAGCTATGGAAGGGCCAGCAGAAGACTCAGGGAGCGAGCAGAAGAGATGGGAGGTAAAAGGCACAGAAGGAAGTTTTCGGGGGCGGGTGTGTGTGTGTGTGTGTGTGTGTGTGCCCTTCCTCCAATGTTTGCCAGAAGCCAATATTAAATGACCTGGAATGCCCAACGTAGCACTTTCCAGTAACAATCCCCCTTAAAATGGGTTGAGATGCTGGTGGAAGTCAACCTCAGCTCAAAAACGGGCCTGAAGAAATGCTTAAAATTAGACAATGGGGAGTTGACTTGTCTGTGAATATAAACACAGCATTAAAAAAATTTAATATAAATACTAAAATGACCAAGTGCAATGTGTTGTAATGCTACCTCAGACATTAAAAAAACTCATATTAATTAATATTGTATTGCTATGAAGAGTACAAGTTGGGCATTTTTATGGCAACTTTATGGAGGCTCAGTTAGGTTAACCGATTGCTCCAAGTGACTCAGCAGTCAAACTGCAGAGGATCAGGATATTGCTTATTTTTCTTGTTTTTTTTTCTAAAATGAACATGGATTGTTCAGATGTCCTATCAGTAAATATTTGAAAGTTATAAGTTGTAAGACATTCAGAAATCCAACTTCTTAAACAGTGGAACCCAATTTGCAGCGACCGGACTCCTCCAGCAGTTTAGACTGTGTCTAGGAGTGGATCTGGACTATTTTTTCTGTTGGAACATAGTAGGTTCTCAATAAAGTGATATATGTTCACAGACAAGCTGAGCTCAGTGGCTAAGACTTCCTCCAATTTCTTTTGCTTTGGAATTCTGAATACATTTTATTAAAACTAATTTAGCACCTTACTTATCTATGTGGCCCTTGACATTACCCAATGAAATAACTCAGGTATGGCAGGAGGTAATTATGAATCACTACTTATCTCTGTCTGATGTAAAATAAATTGGAAAGGCAAATTAGAAATTATTTGTTCCAAGTTTTTTATTTTCTATTATTTTTAAGTCTATATTTCTGAAAAATTTCTAGGCCATTTTATATGTACACGATTACCCAATACCAAGGTTATATACCTTATTAACACTATGTATTTTTTTTTTTTCGGCTTAGCTTACTCTTTGTGTTGTTTGCTGCCGAGTCATATTTAGGTATGAAGTTCTTTAAACAGGTACTATTATGTTCACATCTGGGACTTCTTCAGAACCTCAAGTGTTATTTATTGCCTACACAAAGGCAGCCCCCTAGAGCAAGACCAGTGATAACATCTGTGGTTGAGAAAAAAAATTGCCCCGTGCCATGGTAAGAACCTCTGCTAACATGTCCAAATAGGCTGAGCATAAAGGATATTTATATCGCAGAGTTTATGAGAAAAAAATGTGATTACAGCCCTAACTGGCTGGGCTCAGTGAATAGAGCATTAGTCTGTGGACTCAGGGGTCCCAGGTTCGATTCCGGTCAAGGGCATGTACCTTGGTTGCGGGCACATCCCCAGTAGGGAGTGTGCAGGAGGCAGCCGATCGATGTTTCTCTCTCATTGATGTTTCTAACTCTCTATCCCCTCTCCCTTCCTCTCTGTAAAAAATCAATAAAATATATTTTAAAACAATGTGATTACACCTCAAATTTCTAGCAATAGGGGATGGTCGAAATAAATTATGGATTTACTTAAAATAGAATACCATAGAGTAATTTCAAATGACAATGCACTTTTTATATTTACTGACATGATATACTGCTGAGCAGGAAAAGAAGTCTACTGAACAGAATGTATAGTATGAGCCTATATATGTAGCCATATATTTATATATACATTGACATTTACATAGATATAGTGGATTCACATAGACACAGACCAGGACACTGAGCAAATCTGTGGCTCTTCCTTGCAGCCACTGTGGACAACAGGATGAAGACTTCTCAAAAAATTAAAAATAGAACTGCCTTATGACCCAGCAATTCCACTTTTGGGTATTCATCTGAAGAAATCCAAGACACTAATTCGAAAAGATGTATGTGCCCCTATATTCATTGCAGCATTATTTACAATAGCCAAGATATGGAAGCAACCTAAATGTCCATCAGTATATGAATGGATAAAGAAGAGGTACATATATATGCTGGAATATTACTTGGCCACAAAAGAGTGAAAATTTGCCATTTGCATCAAAATGGATGAACCTACAGAGTATTATGGCAAGTGAAATAAGTCAGAAAGAGAAAGATAAATACCATATGATTGTCCTTACATGTGGAATCTAAAAAACAAAACAAAGAAAGAAAACAGAAACTCATAGATAGAGCAAATTGATGTTTGCCAGATGGGAGAAGAGTTGAGGGGGAGTTTGAAAAGGGGGGAGGGATTAAGATGTACAAATTTCCAGTTATAAAAACAGTCACAGAGATGTAAAGGGAATATAATCAATAATATTTAATAACTATGTATGGTGTCAAATGGTACTAGACTTATTGGGGTCATCACTTCATAAGTTATCTAAATATGCAATCACTATGTTGTACACCTGAAACTAATGTAATATCTATACTAAAATAATATCTATAATAAAAGGGTAATATGATAATTAGACCGGACATCCTTCTGGGCATCCTTCCGGCCTAAGCCATGATGGCAGGGGCCGAGGCAGAGGCAGTTAGGGGCAACCAGGCAAGCAGGGAAGAGCAGTTAGGGGCGACCAGGCCAGCAGGCAGAGTGGTTAGGGGCAATCAGGCAGGCAGGCAGGTGAGCGGTTAGGAGCCAGTGGTCCCAGATTATGAGAGGGATGTCTGTAATTGGGCCTAAACCAGCAGGGATCGGGCCTAAACTGGCAGGGATCGGGCCTAAACCAGCAGAATGGAGAGGGTGCAGGCTGGGCTCAGGGACTCCCCTCCCTGTGCATAAATTTCGTGCACCTGACCTCTAGTTGTATTAAAACAGTAATTGGAGAAAAAAAAAACACAACTAAAAAATGGTGGCTCTTCTTGGTGGTGGAATTATGAATGATCTTTATTTTTTTGTATTATTTTTCTATAATGAATGGACTCCCTGTATAAATATAAATTGTATATTAGTTGTGTCTGAAACATAAAGAGAGAGAGAGAGGGGGAGAGAGAATAGAGAGGAGAGGTCCAATGATGTCTGGGTGTTTAATCTCAGCTATATTATCACACATTTTGGCTTAATTTATAATAGACAAAGGTTATCTCAATAATTGTTCAATTACATTTCTGCTCATGTATGTCTATGGCCTCTCTTATCAGTTATACTTTATTATACATAGAATATTATATGCAT